GTTCAAGACCAGCTTGGATGGGGCTTTGAGCAACTTAGTCTAGTGAAAGGTGTCTCTGCCCATGGCAGGGGGCTTGGAAATGATCTCTAAGGTCCCTTCCAACCTAAACCAGTCTCTGTTCCTATGACTGGGGGTTAGTGCTGTGGGATTTGCACCCAGGACCTTCCAGTCTTATGGAAGCAATAAATTACTACATGCCTGCACAGAAGCAAAGCAAGAAGGGTCAGGCAGCCAGAACGGTTCCATGGGGAGGCAAAAGGGACAAGGAAAAGGCTGGGAAGGGGCTATAGGGCCATCAGTGGAGTGGAAATGCTTGTGGATAGCAGAGTGCAGATCCTTAATGAGGGCACAACTCTGCGTTTGCAGCCCATTCCATGGAAATGCACTTGAGATCCTGTAGAAAAAACATTTTTCACTAATGAAGGGATAAATTTAGGGCTTCAGGACTGAAAATGTTGTTTTGCCATCTAGTTGAAGTGGAAAGTTTTCACAGAGGCTGAGAATTCAGGAATGTAGTAGCTGTGTTTGGACAGGTTTGTCCCCAATATTAGACAGCCATCCCTTTAAAATTTTTGTTTTGACAGAAAGGAGCAACATATACATATATATACTTTTACATACATATTTTTTTCCCCTTTTTGACACCATGTCCATAGTTCCCACACTGGGTGCAGGCCCAGGAGAAGACCATCATGGACCTGGCAGGCAGACAGGTGCAGTCATGTCCCAGTGCTGCTTGAAGATGAAGGAAAATGCAACATGAGGGTCTTGCCTTGGCCATGGCACAGAGCTCTGGGCTCCTGGCTCTGGGCATGCTGGGAAAGTATGGCAGGACTGGGAGACTCTTGAAAAAGGGGTGAACTCCTCAAAGTCATTAGCTCATGTAATAACCTGAAGAGTCTGTGTAAGGCTGTAGAGGTGCCATCTCAGGCTGGCAGGGGTCCAGTAGGAATATTTCACACTCAAATCCCTTTTCTTGGCTCAGTGGAAACGTGGCCCATTTACCCTTGCACTGCTCCTCTTAGCATTTTAACACATGGACAGGGATGGGTACAGAAGCACCACTTTTCTTCGGAGCTGCTTGGAGTGGGGCAGTGTAAGTGGGAGGCACATCGAGCTCTCTGCTCTGTGGGTCTTTACCAGGGGTCCATACCTTTTCACCCTGCTTCCTGCAGGTCTCTTTTTGTTTCATTCATGCTGTTTGAGATGCTCAAAGCCAATCAGAGGTTTGAGGTTTTAATAGGGATTTGTCCCTGGTGTGACTTGGAGAGGGGGAAGCAGGGAGCTGGACGGCACTGGCAAAAAGGTGCCTCTTCCTTTGAGTAGGTGGTTACTGCTGGTTTGGCTAACAATGCCTCTGAACCCACCTGTGCATCCTCAGGGCAACCCAGGCTTACCAAGCACTTCATACCAGCCATACAGGTGGCAGTGCCATGGTCTTTAAAGCATCCCTGGCAGGCAGCTGCCAAAGCAACTGCTCCCTTGCCAAAGCCTGGAGCGGGTCTGGCCAACACGTCTTCTCCCACCTGGCTCTGCCAGAACTGGATACTCTTTCCAGCTGCCTGTGGTTCACTCCTGCCAAAGTAATAAAGGTTGTGTGCTGCAAGAGGTGGTTCAGAGTACAGCGTTGGGACACAGCACATGCATCACCACCCTTGCTGCAAGCAGGAGAGACGACCAGAAAATCAAACCCATACCGTTGGTCATGGCCACACAGCCAAAGGTATTAGGGATTCGGAACTGGAGGAGGAACAGTCCGTTAGGGGAATTTCTGTCCCATCACTTCCTCCTGGCAAGCACCGGGAACAGACAGGCAAGGCAGACGGAGCTGGCAGCCGGCACCTACAGAGAAACCGTGAGAGCGCCGGGGCTGCCAACGTTTCTCTGCTCGAGGGCTGCACGGCCAGCACACACAGCCCGCTGTATCTGGGGGTGAGATCCTGCAGAGGAGTGTCAGTCTGTGCTGGACGATGGCAGTGGTGGTGGTATGAGTGCAGAAGAGTTGCCTCTGAGTACACAGGTGCATTGTAGGACTCCGAGTAAAGAAACAGCCCAGGCATGGACTTGCACATCTTGGGTTATCTCTCTGCAGAACTGGGAAAAGCCAAAGGGGAGGAATTTAAAAAAAAAAAAAAAAAAATCAGGACTGAGCTGTTCCCAGAGAGATATAAGAGAGCTCTTAGAGGCATGTGCAGGTGTCAGTGTGATAGAGACACCTATCTGGGACCAGGGCTGGCCACCTCCAGCCAGAGCTCCATTGAGAGGTGGGGTAACACTTCTTCCTGCAGGTACAGCACAGGACTGTTTCAGGTAGGGAAGAGGATGCTGAGCTCATCTCCTTACTCCCTTGAATTTCAAGGACTCTTGCAAATACCAGAGCACAGAGGTTATGTGAATAAAAATTACATTAGCATGCCGAGCAACTTTGTCAGCAGTTTCTTATTAAAGCACTTGGTCCTCTCTGTAGTGGGCATTTCCATTCAACCTCCCCCTTGTCACTGCTAACAGTCAAGTGGGCTCTCCATTAAATTTGAGCTCGTGTAAGAAACAGTGAGAGGGTTGATTTCAATATTCTCCTTCTTGTCCCACCACGCACAAGCTGTTGCTACTTATTAAACATTTTAAAATCCCTGCTGCCAAAGTCCCCAGGAGACATTTATCTGCCATAGTCATAAACGACTTGCCAGCATGCTACTCCAAACTGCATTTCCCAGCCAATAAATACAAGCTCCAGAATCAGGAAAAGCAGGGTTTGGCTCTAATTTTCAGTGGTATGTCACTGGGATACTATAACTACTTTTAAATTCAAATCAGCTTCCTAAAAATTAACTGGTTTTATCAGATACAGCACAGTGGACTGTTAAACACGTAGCCTCATGTACTGAAACACTATACATTTAATGAAGTTATGCCATTAGCAAATGTACAACATGGGTGCATAAAATCCACCTATAGAACAGCTCTATGTATGAGAGAGGATTTATTTTAGCTTTTCTCAATAGAGCAGGACTCCCTTTTCTTGGCTTTTGCTAGGTTATTTAACTAAAACCAGGATTTGTGCACACACAAAAAACCCCAAAAAAGTATCTACTCTCATAATTAAAAAAGACTGATTTTTTTTCTTTTTTTATTCCAGTTCAGGAAGGAAGAGTATCATCCTGCAAGGTAATATAATCAGCTCCTTTGCCTCTATAATCTACTTCTGCTCAACAGGAGCCCCCAAAGAAACACTTTATGTCCCAAGTGAAACGTGAAAACTACTTGTAAGGTCTCTTTTGAGGCACATGATTCAAACGGTCACTTTCAGAGTATCAGAGTCAGCGTTGTCTTCCATCTCCTTTCTTTCTGGGAAGAGCTCTCTGGCACGCCATGGGCTCACCCTGTTCCAGGTGGAAGGCTATGTCCCTGCCCCAAATCAGAAAGGTTAGGATGACACAAGTTAGCACAGACACCCATTTCGCACTTACACCTAAGGACATACGTTGACGACTCCCCACTTCAAATTCCTCACAGAGAGGGGGGGAAAGAAATAAACAAAAAAACCAAAAGAAAAAACCAAAAACAAAAATAAAAAAAGGACAAGAGACAGTAAATTTCACTGTGATCACACTACGGCAAAATATACCTTCTGTTCATTGCAAAAAACGCGTGAAGGCCAAATTAAAGCGGGAAAAAAGTATGTTGCATGAGTTACAGTGCAACCGTATTATTCCTTCTCTTTCTATTTTCCTCCCCCCCCACCTTGTTCAGTTTAGAAAAAGGATTGAGTACAACACAGTCAGGTAAGTGGCCACAAAAGAGTAGCTGTCTTTGGCAAGAAGTCACCGCATTGACCCTCTCTGTCACCTTCTGCCCATTTCACTCTGTCTCATGAAGTGGATGTTGTTGGCGCTGTCTGAGAGTT